GTCCTCTCTTCCTGCGCTTGCCGACCCTGAGTCGGACTCTCTTCGTGCTGCCAGTCCTACTGTCACGCGTCTGCTTGCTACTGTCGTCACTGACCCCTCTTTTGAGTCCACTGCTGCGTCTGCTCTAGTCGCTGAGCTCGTCGACTTTGCTGCTCGCTGTCGTCTCGACTATGCTGCTAGTCTTGTTGCTGAGTCTGCGTCTGTCTGTCCTCCGTCCGTCGGGGGTGAGTGTGCTCTTGGCACGGACGTCCTAGAGGACAGGCAGGAGGAGTTACAGTGTCTAGCGGCTGCTTCACCTCATCTCGCGTCTGTACTACTTGCCCCTGAGGGAGACCCGGATGCACTAGACATCCGGACTCCGCGTTCTTACGCGGAGGACGTAGAGGGTCCCTACTCCTCTCAGTGGCAGGCAGCTATGGATGCAGAGATGGCTTCCTGGAAGTCCACAGGAACCTACGTTGACGCGGTTCCCCCTCCTGAGGCGAACATCGTCAGTGGCATGTGGATCTTCAGGGTGAAGCGGCCGCCGGGCTCTCCGCCTGTCTTCAAGGCACGGTACGTTGCTCGTGGCTTCAGTCAGCGGCAGGGAGTTGACTACTTTCAGACCTTCTCTCCCACCCCGAAGATGACTACTCTTCGGGTGCTGCTTCGGCTTCACGTACTCCTCGCCTCAGGCCACTCCTCTGCCTACTCGCCACTCACTCTCAGCTCTGCCTTCGGATGAGTCCGTAGAGTCGAGTGGTCCGTATGCAGAGCTTGTTGGCTGCCTCATGTACCTGATGACCTGCACACGACCTGACCTTGCATATCCTCTGAGCATTCTTGCACGCTATGTTGCTCCTGGGAGACACAGACCAGAGCACATGGCTGCAGCGAAGAGGGTATTGCGCTACCTGTGCAGTACGTCGGGCATGGGGCTAGTGCTTGGAGGGCGGAGTCCAGTGGTCCTTACTGGCCACGCGGACGCTTCTTGGGCTGACGACCAGGCTACGCAGCGGTCGTCGCAGGGTTACACCTTCAGCCTTGGTTCCGGCTCTGTCTCGTGGCGGTCTACTCGCTCGTCTTCGGTTCTCGGCTCCAGTTGTGAGGCTGAGATCTACGCCGGGGCCATGGCTGCACAGGAGCTTCGCTGGCTCACCTACCTGCTGACTGACCTTGGAGAGCCGCCTCGTTCTCCTCTAGTGCTGTACGTAGACAACAAGGCCATGCTGGCCTTGTGTCGAGAGCAGCGCTTGGAGCACAGAACGAAGCACATTGCTCTCCGCTACTTCCTTGCTCGTGAGCTGCAGCAGCGTGGTCAGTTGCGACTTGCGTACGTGGCCTCTGAGGCCAACACTGCTGATGTGTTCACCAAGGCACTCGCGCCTTGTGACCATCAGCGCTTTTGTACCCAGCTGGGTCTTGTTTTATATATATGTCTAGTTGACCCAGCTGGGTCTTGTTTTATATATCTACATCGTATCACCCCGAAACCGACGGACAGACCGAACGGACAAACCAGACCATGGAACAGCTCATTAGGGCCACGTGCGATGATTCAAACACGTGGGAACAGCAACTGCCACTCATTGAATTCGCATACAACAACGCCCCATCCGCCACGACCCAAAAGTCACCATTTTACCTGAATTACGGACAAGACCCAACAGTACCCATGACCCGACAACCCAGTTCCACGCGCACAACAGTTCGTCGAGATTTTGCAAGCAGCACGGACCAGGGCAGCAGACGCAATAAAAAAATCAAACATCATCGCTAAACGCAACGCTGACCGCCACCGCAGACCTGTCACTTACCAGCCCGACGACCTCGTTTTACTCGACACTCAAAACCTCCGCCTGCCCATCACCCCCAAACTCCGCCCTCGATACTGTGGGCCATTTCGAATTAGCCATATGATAACACCTGTCACCGCGCACCTCCTCCTCCCTGCTGACTGGTACGTCAGCCCCTCGTTCCACGTCAGCCTGCTTCGCCCTTACGTACCATCCACAAGCCAACTCCCACGCAATCGACCAGCCAGCATGGCACGACCACTAACCGAACCACTCATCACCCTCGACAAAATCTTTAGTCACAGAGTTCGTGACCCTCGAGGAGCCCGAAAGATTGAGTTCCTGATCCGCTAGAAAGACCGTACACCCACCGAAGACAACTGGGTTCCCCTGGACAGACTTGAAAACCACCCTGTTCTCACCGAATATCTGCGCAGCCGAAACTTCAGGGACGTCCACGCACTTTCGTAAGGAGGACCTCCTTAGGAAGGGGGGGGGGGGGGGTTGTGTTAGGAAAATCACTTTTCCTTACTTCGCATCCCTGCTCAACGCGTACATCACTGTAGCACCTCAGTCAGCACCGTTACCACTCGCGCTCCTCGTATCGACAATCACCCCGCCATTTTTGCACATCGCACCCCGACCTCACGGCTCGGCTGGTAACCCGCGCTCCGGGCCTCCGCTACGACACTTTCCCAACCTCAGTCCCAGGCTCGTCGCGCGACAACCACAGTCCATTACCGTTACCACTGTAGTTTCGCTATATATTCTTCGCTCATGCCTTCGCTCATTGTGTTCTTGCTTCGATAGTGCAATTCTCGTTCGTTCACTCAATTGCACTCGTAATACCCCCCTAGAGGTGCTGTTCTATTCTTGAAGATCACTGTAGTATACGGCTAATTTCTGTTTAAACTAATCTTGGTTGTACGGAGGGAGCTTCCGCCTCACAATATCTGCCATCTGTCAACCTCTTTCACCAATCCCTACACACTTTCTCCACCACGTCGCCACGTCACGTCCCGTGGACCACCATCAGCCGAACCGTCACATAGCCCCCTTGTTCACTGGACGACGATCATCACCTCGTCAGCCCCTCGAAAGCCGACATAGCCCAGCTCCTCGGTGAGCGGGAATTTGGGAAATCGGTGTCCCATCCGTCCGTCTTCGATAATCTCGAGGTGGTGAGGTCAAATGACAGCCAGCCAGCCCAGCTGGGGGAGTAATCTCGAGGTGCCTTTTCCTAGAGGCACTCATTTAGGCGGGCCGCCAGCAGCGCAATGACGCTCGAGTTGCCACCAGCACGCAAGGAAACTCAACTTCCCTGACCAATCAATCGCGCAGTGTACACATTTTATTCGTGCGATGTAGTCCATTTCAGTACGGTTCGAAGCGTTGGGATGTGGTGCTTGGGGTCCCCCACGAGAGATGCAATCAACGCCATGGCGTCTGACTGCTGACTGTCGTGTCGAGGATGGCGTCTGGTGGGAGCTGATGGCAGCCTCGAGATTCGCCAGGGTGGCGTAGAGTCCCCGAATCTACTAAGCACCACTAGCGGTTTCAACGGTTTCATGTGTCGATTATTGATTAGCTCGAGTCGCATTCAGTTCAGTCAGCCGGTGTGCTGCTGAGACCGCCAAACGAGCAGGCCCAAACGATCAGTGAATCAAACGCTGAGTTGAATTGATGACATTACGATAAAGGTCCTTCGTCTGAGTTGGCGAGTCCGACTTGCGCGTTACCCAAATTAGCTTTTCACTGTTGAATGATCTCACGTTGACCTAATAATACCCCTTCTGTTGAACTACGAGAGGCAAAGGTAAACTAGATTCGTCACTTAGTCCTGCAATTTGATCGTTCCTGATACTTCATTTCTAGAAGCAGTAGCTTGGTATATAATTGGTTCCATTCGTCCAGCATCTTTTAGAACTGCTGCCGTCCCATCAACATGTCAGCAACATCTCTAGTCTCACGGCCTCAAACTGCTGGTTACACCAGCAAGCTATGTACCAGCACCGCTCGCAATGACCGCACACGTCTTTCAGTGAACCATGCTAGAGTCAAATTTCCTCGCCGGCGAGCGCTTCGAGGAGTCAATGTCCGCTGCGATGCCAACGAGAACACGAAGAATCATGGATCCGTATTCGTCGACGAAGAGTCGGCTTTAAAGGAGGAGCTCCGGAAAGCGACGCGGTTCGAGAAGCGATTAGAGGCTCAAGTTGGTGTCCCGCAAGAGCTGGAAATTTTCACGGGAGACGAGCTGCACTATGTAGAGACGTCCGATGGATGGCGACTCGCCCTCTGGCGTTACCTCCCATCTGAATCCGTGTGTATTTCTTCCGTTCCTGGTTTCCAGACCCTTCCGTTCCTCTCTTCTTTCTGCTTAATTTATGTACGAATGGCCGCTTCCGTCGCTTTGATGCCTCTCTTGCGTCAAGAAGGTCCGATTCACCGTGTGATGTTATTTTTTGTTGTTCTTGCTGGTGTTTGCGAATCAGGTTCCTCGGAAAGCTCATCCAGTCCTCCTCCTTTCCGGAATTGCCACCAATGCTCTCGGATACGATTTGTCACAAGAGGTAACTTCCCTTTCATTTTAGCCGTTGAGTAAGTGTCGTTTTTCCTCTGAGTCTTCTATGTTGCCTCTCTGATTTGAAGCCAGACTTTGTGTTGGAGATTCCAAAGAAGCCACCCGGGTTGACACGTCATCATCTGAACCCTGTTCTCCTGCAGGTGTCTTTGGCTCGACATCTGGCAGATCAAGGGTTCGATACCTGGGTGCTCGAGCTACGTGGAGCAGGCTTAAGCCAGTCTCCCTTCTCTATAGCAGGGGCGCAGGGTTTGTCATCTGCCAAGAGTTCTGCCATTGGTCCTATTGAAGGACCCCCTATTACATTCGTTAATGGTTCTGTAAATGGCACGATGAACGCTGCCATTGATACCGGAAACTCAGTTAATGGGTTTCCAGTTAACGGAGCTTCTACAGACGAGTACGCGAACGGATCTAGTCCGAGCGGCTCGGCTGTTAGTAGCAGCAGCAGAACAGATGGTACGACAAACGGCTCTGTGTTCTCTCCGTTGTTTTCAAGTGATGACGAAGATTCAACAGCAGCTGCCACTGTAGCAACATCAACAGCAACGCCAACACCAGCAGAAGTTCCAGAAAGGCCTGCAGCGACAAGTTCGGATGCGTCAGAAGGTTTCAGCGTTTCGAGGAGCTTATCCCGAACCATGCAGCAGCTGCGGAATTATTTCGACCAATTCACCCGTTCAGAACCAGCAATGGATCCGCAGGCACTCAGACCGAAGGTAAAATCCGCAGAGATTAGATTGAGAGAAGCTCTGGACCACACAAGCCTGCAGCAGCCTGTGGCGCTGCTTGACTTGCAGCACATACTCGTTCAGCTGCAGACCTGCAGTGACGTGGAGCTGACGTCATCTGGCGTGACACAGCTGAGGCGCGCCCTAGATTCCTTCTTCAGCGATGCTCAACAATCACCTGACGTTTCACCTGAGGCTTTTGCAGCGATGAAAGATCTGGCTGATCTGGTAGGCCCATTGAAATCCGACGCCACTCTTCCCACTGCCGCTGCCTCCTTCCTCCAGCAGACCACCCGGCTGCTGAGCAACAGCATCGCCTCTTCCAACCTCGAGAAACGGCTAGCTGAGCTTCAGAAACGGCTGGGGGAAATTGTCGAGTCTAGACAGGGTGTAGCGACGCCAGGAGTGGCTGAGCTGTACGAGCAGCTGATTGGTGTGATTCTGCAGACACAGGACGTGGCGAGCCTTGCCAAGGAGTATAACTGGGATTTTGACACGTATCTGTATGATGACCTGCCAGCTGCCATGCAGTATGTGCGGAAATGGTCCCGGCCGCATGATGGGAAGATCCTGGCCGTTGGTCATTCCATGGGAGGGATTCTGCTGTACTCGCGAATGGCTGCTCTCGGTAAGAATGTGCTCCATTAGCTGACGCTATTGTGCATTTATTTCTGTTGTATTTCCTGGTTTTTCATGTCTTTGTCCCTCACTCGATCTCCCGCTTTTTCTCTTGCTCTCGTTCTGTGCAGGTCCAGATGCGGGTCTGTTGGGGGTGGTGACGGTGGCATCGTCACTCGAATACTGGATGGCCAACTCCAGCTTGAAGCTGCTACGCCCACTCGTAAGTGCTTCTGCTTCAAAAGCATGTCCGTATTGAATGAAGATACATGTAATCATGCACACCACCACCCACACTAGTTCCATCACCAGTTGCATAATCCATTACACCACAAGTTACACCACCAGCTGTATCACCAGAGAACCCTGCTAACAGACCAGACCACCATCAACAGTGCTGGCGCAAGAAGGGCTGCCTGGCATGGCCACAGACCGCAAGGGAACCCTTTGTTTTAGAAAGTTGCTTTTCACATTCACACCTGTTCTTTCCCTCCTGAGGCGCCCCAGAAACCCTCACCTGAAGCGCCTCAGAAGCCTTATTTCTGAGGCGCTCCAGAAGCCCTTTTAGATCTCATTCTCGCAGCTCATTGCGCCTCTCCCGTTTCTCACCTTCCTCTCATAGTTCCAAAGCCGGCCATGCACGGGCCTTTGAATTCTTAGTTCTCCCCAGCCGTCACTCCCCTACTCCTTTCCGCATTCAGACCTGCCTTGCTTGAACCGTAAGCCTTCGAGTATTTCCTGTTGCACAACTGATGCAATCAGCTCTCCCACTGATACCTCTAACGGCCCCTCACTCTTTCACCACTCCCCTGTTACCCCACTCCCTTTCCCAATCTGGCCCTGCACGGGCCCTCAACTTCCCAGTCATCCCGGTGGCAGTGTTGGCGCGAGCAGCACTGCCCCTCATGACCACCGGAACCACGATAACCATGCTTCGCTCCCTTCCCCGCCTTCCCTCCCCGCCTTTCCTCTCTTCCTTTCCTCCCCATCCCAGTCTGGCCCTGCGCGGGCGCTCAACTTCCCAGTCATCCCGGTGGCAGTGCTGGCGCGAGCAGCGCTACCTCTCATGACCCAGCCGCCCTTCACACTGGCGTGGGTGGCGCACCAGGTGTCAGCCCGTGATGCCATGGACCCTCAGCTCTTTCAAAAGCTCATGCAGCACAACTTCTGTGAGTGGGGGGTGAGGAGCCACGGGATAGTATGGCGTAAAATGGGGTAGTATGGATTGGGGCAACACAGTGGGTAGTACACCAGGTCTCAGGCAGGGTTATCGTGGACTCAACGCTCTTTTAAAAGCTCATTTACAACAGCTTCTGCTTTTGCAGCAGCTCAACTCACATTCTTCCAGTGTCTCTGTTCGCCCTCCCCTCCAGGCACCATCTTTGTGAAGCTCCTGCTGCAGATGTAGTCTATCTTCACACCGGGCAGGCTGCGGATGAGCAACAACTCAACTTCCCATTTCCCCATTCTTCTATGTGTCATTCCCCCAGGCACCATCCCCGTGAAGCTCCTGCTGCAAATGGAGTCCATCTTCACGCCAGGCGGGCTGCGCAGTCGCAGCGGGTCAATCTCGTATCTCAAGGGGCTGAGGGACTGCTACACGCCCGTGCTCGCCCTTGCTGGCGACTCCGACGGTGTCTGCCCACCCCTCCTTGTTACGGGTCAGTCCGTGCAGCTCTGGTTGTCAGAGGTCAGTGTGCAACAAGTAAATGTTAGTCCATCTCGTACCTCAAGGGGCTCAGGGACTGCTACACGCCCGTGCTCGCCCTTGCTGGTGATGCTGACGGCGTCTGCCCGCCACTGCTTGTCACAGGTCAGTCACTGCAGCTCTGCTCGTCCGAGGTCAGTCACTGTAGTTCCCATGTTCCTACCACTTGGTCAGCCTGAAAGTTCGTCACAGACGTGTTGTCAAAGTGAATGTTTCTCGATATTTTCTCCTTTGGAGTCGCCTCAAATGTTGTCCATTTATGTCCTTTGTAAATCTGATTCTCACTCTCCTCCACCTCCTCTCTGACCCGTTTCCGATGAACGTGGTGTGTGGCCTACAGAAACTCTGAAGGCCATCCCATCTTCCAACGTTGAGTACCGGTTGTTTGGAGGGTCGGACAACCGTCGCTACGGGCACTACGACATGCTAGTGGGCAAACATGTGAGTACTCGTGCTATGTGAGTGGGTATGACACGTGACTGTTCGTGCTATGTGAGTGGTTGTGACAGTTGAGCAATCGTGACATGTGAGGTGGTATGTCATGTGAGCAGGCATGCCATGTGACTAACATAGCATAGCATGGTATGAGCAGCATCTAAGCAAGATGACCAAACCCTGTGACTCTGTACTGAAGAGTTTCACCATTCACACTAATGACAATCACTGCTGTGCTGTGCCATATGTTTTTCCATATTCCAGGCACCAGAGGAAGTGTACCCAGTCATTACAGATTTTCTGTCGAAGACTGATGGTGCTTACGGGGAGCCAATCAGGGCTGAAGACGAGTTTTCTTCCGCAATGTCTGCCATGTCAGTTCAACAAGATAATGGCATGCATGCAATATAACCACTGTAAATAGATGGCCTAAAAATTTGCAGATTCCTAGATCAAGTGTGTCTGAGCTTCCAAGGGCGGGTCAGGCATACAATAGTTCGTTTGCCATCATTGCTGTTCTGACAGGTGGATGGCGGATCAGAGAGGCAGAGCAGGCAAACCGCTCTAGGATGTGCACCATCTTTTTCCACGTGAACTAAGGTCTGCTCCACATTCTAGTGATCTGTCCAGAAATTGGAAAAAAATCACTGCTTCCGTGTTTTACTGAGCACATGCTACAAAAGGTAATGCGTCAATACATCTTCGGTCCCAAAATTGTATGATTCTTGGATTGGCTCGTCATTAAATTTACCTTGCATCATTCATAAGACACCCCCATCATGAATTCAGAAGGTTTTCCTTCGTTACAAAGCAATCCCATCATTTGCAGAAGCTATCCCTGAAATCCAGCATGGGCGTCCGCGATGACGACACCACAATCGATAAGAGATGCCAAGCAACTGCCACAACGCGCAACTGCAGTGAGACCTGCAGATACAAGAGCAAAACACAACAGCTGATAAAGCACCGTCGCGGGACCTATTGAAACGAACCGAATTATCCGTCAGTGATCATTCGACAGAATGTGGGGAGGGGGACAAAGGCACAACCACTTGATCAGCTGCGTGCCTGGGTATAGTTCCGCCCCGTTTGACCGTGCTCTAGGCGACCTTGAGCGCTGCATGTGCCACGGTAATCAGGCACACCAGTGACTCTAATTGAGTCGCCATGCAGAAACATTCAACTAAGTCCGATAGACCACGGCCCCTACTTCCAGCGAGTACTATAAATTGCGAAGCAAAAACAAAGGAGCGTGGGAGACGCGCGGTAACATACCTTAGCGCCTTATGTAAAGCCAGTCGTTCGAGAAGTGCATTCGGATCGGCCTGTTTAGCCGCATTTCACGCTTCACCATGATCCTTCAGCCGGAACCACGGAGCCAAGCCGGATCTGAAAGGGTGCGTCGGATAGTCGGAAATAGTATCAAGGGAACAATAGTTATATGTCTTTAGTGCAATTAAACGAGCAGGACCAGAGCAGCAACAGGAATGTAAGAAGCTGATTGTCGAGGGGTGACTAAGCCACCTCATGAAGAAAATACAGAGGTGGCATGAGATAGTGATGCCCTTTCGCCGACCCGGCCATTCTTTTAGGAGGCTTCGAGCGCTGAATGGGTCACGTAATGGACGCACCAGTGACTCTATAGAAGCCGCCAAGTTGCATGTTCAAATGGAAGCCATTGCAGTAAAGACCCCTTTAGGCGCGATACAATGTGAACAACGAAACCCGTGCGAAGAGAATGGGCGTAGGGATCCTCGTACCCACCCTTAATGCGGTCGGACTTTCAACGCATTTGTAGCCGCGGGTCGAGCCTCTCGGGTCTCAGTTGGCGCTGTCACGATCTCAAATGAACTCGGCCATTCAGCCTCCAGGAGGTCGCCGACTCCGCATCAACCGCATTCGATGGGAAGCCTCAGCCCCCACTTTCACGGCTACGGCATAGTGCAAGCTTCGGCAAGCTTCCCAGCTCCTAGGAAGACATAGGCAAGGATGGTACAGACACGGGCGTGGAACGGGAAATGGTTGAGAAAAGAAGATTGGCGGGTATTTGGCCCCAGCACCAAGGTGGGAGCTGCTGTGGCGAAAAGTGATGGCGACTGGATACAGTTCGCCTGGTGGCTTACCCCAACCTCGCTCAGGTTTGGGTGTGCACTGTGCACCAAAGCAGATTCGCTTATCCGTTCCAGCACAGCAACGAGTAGACTCGTTTTCGGTACAAGCCTGACACATCCAACTCATGCAGACTTGTGGTGCATATTTACCTGCAAGCAAAAATGGCAGCAGCAACTGAAATGGGGCTTCTCACAAGGATAACTACAGAAATTTAACCGCCAAAAAATGGTATATACAGCTTTACATGATATCGAGCCATAATTATTTATTATTAATATCGGCTCATCAACTCAACTTTGCGTCCACTGGAAAATATAGTCAATTGGGTTTCCTATTTTGGCCCACGCAAAAACATTTATCAAAGTTAAGTCCAGATAATTCACGGTTGTGTAGGGTTCCACCAACTCCATTGCCACATGTGTCAGCCACCCTCCACTACTTTCCAAAGCTCAAAATCCTTCCGTCAAGCCCGCTCCCGCTCCCATGTCCTTTTTTCAAGCCCGCTTCCGGTCCATCCTTCGCTCTGTTGCGCCTGCTCCATCACAAGAGGACCAGCGCTATCGTGCTTCTTAGGTTTCGGGTTAGAAAGGTGAGGTGAGGCTAAGCTTCTGCATGTGGGTTTGCATCAACCAAAGCTGGCTATTCTGTATGAGGTAACCTGTCCAATCTAAGCTTCAGCTATGTTCTGTTATCAACGTTTCGAGCTCCATTCCTGCTGTTTTGTTTTTCGTCCGTTCCCTTCCGATTTTACTTGTTGCGGGACGTTTTTGCGGAAAAAGTGTACATTAATGTTAATTTAGTACCGAAGAATCAGGTAGTGCTTCAACAGCGTTACACAACATGCCTCAGAAAGTGCACTGCAGTCTATTTAGGGGGAAACGACAGGAGTGTCTGCAAGAGAAAATCGAGCACATCCAATCCTGATGCTCTCTGCTCCTGTCATCCTTATCTCCATCACCATTCGTCCTGAATTCTTGTTATCGCGTATCACGTCTTCCAATTCAGGCACTGTTGCAGCCGCCTTGTCCCTGCCGGAGTGACAAGCCTTCCCACTTGACCGTGTGCCAGTCCTTCACCGATTCAATCGGATTGCCGAATCCACTCCACAATATTCACTCTGAGTCTTTCCCATGGAGGGCGAAGGCAACGCCAGCTCTACAGGACCGGGGGCGATGCCGCCAAGGCCAGTAGACACAGCCTCTGCAGGTAACAGCCTCTGCAGGTAACAGCCTCTGGTAGTTTTTGCGGTGACCCAGAAATCACATCCGCAGGTAACAACCGCTCTGTACACCGCGCGTTCGCTCTACATCATTCATCCACGCTGCTCAGCTCATTATGTCCTCCCCCCACCCAACCCAACCTCCTCCTCTTCATCCCCCCCCCTTGCCCCCACTCACTCCCTTTCCCCCCGATGTTTTCTTTCCTCGCTCTAACCCAGCAGCTCCACCAGCACCGCTTGCCATGGCATCTCAAGCCCCAGCAGCACCAACAGCCACAGCTGCTGCTCCCACCGCGCCAGACAGCATTCCCAGGCCTCCTCCAAAGCCGTATGAGTCTGCTGCCGCACCAGGAAGCAGCCCTGCCAGCGTTTCCGAGCCTTTCGTCCCGAAGCAGCCGGTTCGGGAGGACATGGTTCGGCAGGCCGTGAGCTTCCTCTCCAACCCTAAGGTCCGGAGCTCCCCGGTTCGGTTCCGCCGAGCCTTTCTGGAGCGCAAGGGCATGTCAGCTGAGGAGATTGATGAAGCCTTCAGACGCTGCCCTGTGAGTCACTTTGCTTAGTTCTTCTTGGGTGGGAGAGGGGGGAGAAAGGTGGACGTAGATGAAAGGTGGTAGGTGGAGGAGGGCGATGGTGGGGTGGGGAGAAGGGCAGTGGGTGGGAATAAGTTTTTCCTGGAAGTTTCGCCGTTTGGAACATGTGCACGAGTGAGGGCTTTTCTGGTTCCACTTCATTGCCAATGCGTCGTGCCCACTGCCCCCCTCGGTGCTCCTGCTGCCCCCTCACCAGTATCCCTCAACAGAATCAAAGGACGTGGAGGTTAGGTTATGAGGCGCCTCAACCCCCCCCTCCTCTTCCCCCCTTTTCACCCCTTGCACCCCTTCCACCCCGTCTTTTATTCCCCCTTGTCCCCACCACACCAGGACCCCTCAACAGGGTCAGAGGACGTGGAGGTGGTCTCGTCTTCCCAGCCCCTGCCTGCTGCTCGCAAGACCCCTGCTCCCACCACCGCTGCTGCTGCAGAGCCACCTGCCGCTGCCGCTCCCCCTCCTCCTGCTGCTGCTGCTGTTGCTCCTGGTCCGCAGCAGCAGGCACAGGCGCAGCAGGCGTTTTCATGGTCCAAGCTGGCAGTGGCTCTGGCTGTTGTGGGGGCGGGCACTGCCGGAACAGCTGCCGTTGCAAAGGTGAATAGTCTGAACAAATTCATTCCCTACCCGAGTTCTCATGTGTTCTCGTTTCCGTCCATTGTGTTGGACCCCCCTCTCCTTCCCCCCTCCCCCCCCCCCTGCTCCCTCTCTTTCTCTTCGCATTCCCTTGTGTTATGTTCTCCGCAACTCCCTCTCTCGTTCCAAATTTCCCCTTTTCTCTCGTCACCATTGTCCTTGTCCCGCACCTCACCTCACCCGCCCTGTGTGTGTCTCATCATGCATCTGTCTCCGGTGCCACCGCCATCATCATCATCATCATCATCATCATCATCATCATCATCATCATCATCATCATCATCATCATCATCATCATCATCATCATCATCATCATCATCATCATCATCATCATCATCATCATCATCATCATCATCATCATTGCTATCTTTCTGCCCCCCTGCCTTGTGAAAACAGAAGTGTTTTGAGACGTCTCAAAACTTAGTGTGTCTCATCATGCCTCTGTCTCCGGTGCCACTGCCATCATCATCATTGCTATCTCTCTGCCCCCCTGCCTTCCATTCAGCGTCTCCTCCTCCCACGCCTCCAGGCCTGTTTTGAGTTGAGACTTCTGAACTGAATTTCTGTTTTTTTTTTTTTTTTAATCCATTCCATTGGTATCTCCCTCTTGGTTTTTTGAGTCGACTAAAAAAACGAGTCTTTGGTGTCTCCCTCTTTGTCTGCTGAGCAGCGACTCGTGCTCCCGCGCCTCAAGACCTGGCTTCAGGAAACTGCAGCACAGGAGTCGTCCAAGAAAGGTACACTTGCCTTGCCACACTTGGCGTTGCACCAGCCAGCACGTGGCAGGCAGGCATGGCTTCACATGGCTGCTTCTTGCTTTCTTGCGACGCTTTGCTCTGTTGTTTTCGTGGGTTCTGGTTCTGACGCGCCTCAAAACGCTTGCTACACGTTGCTCTGTCTGTTGTTGCTGTGTTGTTGACTCAAAAATCGACTCACTACACGCTTGCTACATGTTGCTCTGTCTGTTGTTGCTGTGTTGTCGACTCAAAAATCGACTCACTACACGCTTGCTACATGTTGCTCTGTCTGTTGTTGCTGTGTTGTCGACTCAAAAATCGACTCACTACACGCTTGCTACATGTTGCTCTGTCTGTTGTTGCTGTGTTGTCGACTCAAAAATCGACTCACTACACGCTTGCTACATGTTGCTCTGTCTGTTGTTGCTGTGTTGTCGACTCAAAAATCGACTCACTACATGCTTGCTACATGTTGCTGTGTGTGTTGTTGCTGTGTGTGTTGTTGCTGTGTGTGTTGTTACTGTGTTGTGTTGTGTTGTGTGTGCTTGTAGCCACCGCCTCACTCTTGCACACACAACACAGCAACACACCAAAACAGAGTGCTTGTTGCTGAATCGATTCACTCTTTTTTCTCACCCGTTCCGTTTCTCCGGGCACACTTGGTAATCCAATTCCACGCTTCCATGCGTGTGTGTGTGGGGGGGGGGGGGGATATTTGCCGTGCGTGGCCTGTCTGCATTTGTTTCCGTCCTTCTATGTGCAAGTAGGCAAGCGCCGAGGCAAACAGGCAGCGAAAAAGAGCAGCAAGGGGAAGAAGGCGAGCAGGCGGCAAGGGCAGGGTACTGATCCAGACAAGCCTGAGGAGGAACGGGAGGATGGGAAGGAGGAGGTAGAGGCAGAGGAGGAGGGGAGCAGTGACAGCAGCAGCAGCTCCAGCAGTCGCAGTGAGTCAGAGAGCGAGTCAGAGACAGGGGATTCAGAGAGCGAAGAGGAGAGGGGGAAGGGGAGGAGGGGGAAAGGAAGGCACAGTAGAGGGAGGAAAGGGAGGAGGGGAGGCAGGAGGGGGGGAGGCAGCAAGGATGGGTCCCAGGCGGCGTTGCTGCGGGCATTGGAAGCCATGACTGCAGAGGTGCAGCAGCTCAAGGCCGCCAACGCTGCTGGTGCTGCCGGTGCCGGTGTTGTGGGAGCAGCAGCGGCTGGCATTGCTGCTGCAGGATCGGACATGCGCTCTGGTGAGTCCATCTGGCTGCCATCCGTCCAAGCGCGTGCACTTGGTGCTTTTTTTTAGGCCCATTATTCCAATAGCCCCTCCCAATCCTCCTCTCTCTTCCCCCCTCCCTTTCCCCCCTCCCCCTCTGGGCCTCTTCTGCGATTTTCTCTTCCGTTTCACCTCTCCTCCAATGCACAGCCTCTTCCTCTCGGCCTTGCGTGTTCCTTTTGAGAATTCTCAGAAGTGATTTTTATGTAGCATTCTCCTCGAATGCACAGCCTCTTCCTCTCAACCTTGCGTGTTTCTTTTTCCCGATTAGGTATCTTCCAACCGAATCTGTCTCTCCATTTTTCATACCCACCCGCTTTTCTTCCTCCGTTCAGCCCTTTCGTCTCGTCAGCCTACCCAACAGCAGCAGCAGCAGCAACACAGTAACGAAGCCCCCTACGCCCAGCCCTACTCGGCTCAGTCCTATTCCCCTCAGCCCTATTCCGCCCAGCCGTGGCGACCGTCTAGTGCCCCCGCGCCCTCTTCCCCCTCTGCTGCTCTGGGCGCCGGTGGCAGTAGCACTGCCACTCCTGGTGCGCCTGGTGTCGGATCAGCTAATGCAGGGGCATCTAACGGCCCTCCCCATCCCAAGTCCTTTTACGAGGTGAGGAACGCTTTCGCTCAACCAAGGTGCCATGATACCCTATACCAAGGAATTTCCTCTGTCACTGCCTAGCTGCTCTTTCTCCCTATACCTGAAGATTGCCTCTTCAGGTGGTCTTTTTCTGTTGAGAGGATTTCCTGCAATCCCCATTTCCTCATTCGCCCTTACTGTGCCTATAGCCACGCCACCCTCCCTTTGCTGATACTGTCCATGTGATGCCCGGGGGAGTGGGAGGGGGAGGGGGAGGGGGAGGGGGAGGGGAGGATGTGCAGGTGATAAAAATGGTGAAGCGGGAAGAAAAATTATGAGTCAGTCTTAAAATTGTATATTTTGTTCCATCCGTGATTATGAATGCTCAGGTGATGGAAATGGTGAAGCGGGGAGAAACGCCTCCAGGAATCAAGGTACCTTCTTGCCTCGACTCTTAGTTAGGAGGCATTTGTCAGAGCATTCGTCAGAGCATCAGAGAATTTGTCAGAGCATTTGAGCATTTGCCATATTATTTGAGCATTTGTCAGAGCATTTGCACCAGCGGTGCTGCTCAAGCCATTTCTGTCCCCGTTTTCCCGTTGTTGTATTTTGTTATCTGTTCATCTATCAACAAGGGTATGAGCATGACTGTACTGGTATGCTTGCCCTTTCCTCTCACTCCACATATTCGCCCATTCTTCCCATGCCCATTGTGCGCATGCCCTGAAGGACTAGCATTTTCTAAAAGATTCACGGTACTCCTGAATTAAACAAATGGGGAAAGATGATTCTTTCACGAGTATCGTGAAAGAATCATCTTAACTTCAGGGAAATCGTGAATCTCACCCGTTCTGCCCATGCCCGCAGTGCCCTAATGCCACTGCAGTAAATCATTCAACCACTGCCCGTAAATTCCATTCCCATCCCCATCTCACTCCCCATGCTCATCATCCCCATCGGTTTTCCTGTCCCTCAGTGCATCAATAGCATGCCCCACATACACACCGTGTGAGATGAGAAAAAATGATTGAGTCGACCAAAAAAACATCCCGATCCTTATTCCCATCGCCCAACACATCAACGACAATCCTGACCATGGACGTGTATTTTGCGGCGCCTCAGAATACACCTCAGCAACTGCCTGCCATTGTGCCTATTACCCCGCCCCGCCCGCATCCCCATCCTTATTCCCATTCCTCAGGACATCAACGACAAGCCCCCCAATCCCGAGCAGCCCCCTACAGACTCCCGCCTGACGCGCCCTCTCAAGGTATGCTGCCTGCCTGCCTGTCCAAACAAGCCTCCTAACCTTCTCTTTATTCGCCCATGCCCCTGGGGAATCCAGCCCCTTGCCCTCTCTCAGCCCCTTGCCCTCTCTCATCCCCTTGCCCTCTCTCAGCCCCTTGCCCTCTCTCAGTCCCTTGCCTCTTTTGCATGCCATGCCACGTGATATAAGTGATGTTTTGAGATGTCTCAAAACATCACTTTTATCACTTGCCCTCTCTCAGTCCCTTTCCTCTTTTGCGTGCCACGCCACGCCTCCCCCTGCCCCATCATACCCTCCCCGTGCCTTACCCTTGTTGATGCCGCTCAACTTAGCCCACTCCCACCTTCCCGTTTCCCATTCTTTTCTCCCATCTGGCCCCCCTTCTCCCCCTGTTTTCCCTTGTTCCCCCGGTCTCCTCCACCTTTCATCCTGTGAAGTAGCCCTGGGAGTCTGGAGCAGCACAGCAGGGACCCGGCACCACCTCACCAGCAGCAGCAGTGCCAGCAAGAGGAGCAGCAGGAGCAGCAGCAGGAGTAGGAACAGGAGCAGCAGGAGGAGGGTTCCCAGCGGGGGGTCAAGCAAGCAGGCCACAGTCTGCTGGCATGAGCTCTGCTAACCCGGCCTACCCACCCAACCAGCCATACCCTTACGGACCTAGTCAGCCTTACACAGCCAGCCAGCCGTACCAAACCAGTGCCCCATACACGAGCAACCAGTCGTACCAAGCCAAGCAGCCTTACCAAACCAACCAGCCATACCAGCAGCAGCAGCAGCAGCAGCAGCAGTTTGGGCACCCGTCTGCTTACAACCAGGGTGCCATGGGTTCAGCTTATGGGGCTACTAACGGGGGTGACTATAACGGAGGGATGGGCTATGCTGGTGTGAGTGGTGGTGCTGGTAACGGCTCTGTGGATGAGGCTCCCTGGTCCCGCCGCCCGCCTGCCACGTCATCATCAGCTGCTGCTGCTGACTCAGCAGCCGCAGCTGCTGCCTCTGGAATGTTCTCCAATTCTCCCTGTGGAGAAGCATCAGGGGGTGCAGCCGTGGAGACAGAAGTGGGAGCAACAGTGGGTATCTCAGGTGGCTCATCAGGTGTCCCATCAGGTGTCCCATCAGGTGTCCCATCAGGTGGACCATCAGGGGACGCATCAGGTGGAGGGGGGTGGAGGCCACCAGCACTTCTGAAGCCGGTGCTGCCAGAAGCAGCCACAGCCATCCGCCAGTGGCCTGCTGCTAGAGCACCCAACTACTGGGGCGGCGCTTCCGCCTCCTCCCCTGCTGACGCCCCCGCTGCTGATTCCCTTGCTGCTGATGGTACCACTGGTGCGGCAGATGCTGCTGCCGCTGCCGCTGCGGCTGGTCTTGCAGGGTTTGGTGCATCTGTATTACCAACATCTTCTGCTGCTGATGTTGCTCCTGCTGCTGCTGCTCCCACGTCTGCTCCTGTTCCTCTCCCTCTGCCGCCTGCTCTCGGTGTGCCTTCGGCTGCCCAAGCAGCATGTGCTGCAGTAGAGGCTGCTGCACCGTCTGTAATGGCTCCTCCTGCGGCTACAGCATCAGTGATTGATGTTCCCCCTGGGCCTGCTTTGGTGCTGGGAGGGATGCAATCCAGCAATGGCATTGGTGAGGTGGAGGTGGGTGGGAGTGCAGCAGCAGCATCCGACGGAGTGAATGCAGCGCCAGAGGTGTAGCACCGGCTGTAGCCGCAGTGTCTGTAGCAGCTACACCGGCCATAGCAGCACCAAATGTAGCAGCACCGGCTGTAGCAGCAGCACTGTCTGTACTAGTCCCTGCAGCCCAGCAACAGCAACGGCAGTGGTGAGACAGCAGAGGGTGGGAGTGCAGCAGCAGCATCAAAGGGAGTGAGTGCAGTGCCAGAGGTGTAGCATCGGCTGTAGCAGCACCGGCGCATTGGATGTTGTAGCATGTAGCAGGGATGCAGGATATGAGTCAACAACAGGGTGGGTGGAGCATTGTTGTTGCCCAGAACAAAATTACTGTCAAGTTGGGGTGTTCTCCTTGCTTTTTTTTTCTCGATACACAATCTGTTGTAAATACAATTGTGCTAGCGGTTCCGTGTATACCAGTTGTGGTTCAATGTTCGGGAGGAAGGCGTTGGTCGGCTGTATGGCATTGGGGGCTGGTTGTGAGTCAGAGACGTGTGGGTGGCGAGGGCAGTGGTGTGAAGGGGAAGAGGAGAGGACCGGCAGGAAATCGAGTTGGCTAGAAATTTATGTCCTGAAGTGCTCTTTTACCTTGAAACTGTTGGGCTGAAACGCCCTAGGATCTTTGTAGAGTTGAAGTCTGAGTAAGTGATGTAATAGCGGAAGCGTTGAATAAAGTCCTTGAACCACCTTGCGCTAGTATGTGAGGGCAAAGTAAGTTTATTAAAGCAAAGAGATACATGAATCAATATATGAGTACAGAGAATATGAAGAGACATTATAACTACTTTACTGTTGCGGTTCGATACAGTGCGACTCGGGCAACTGCTCAATGTCGAGTCAGTTGTGTGTCCTTGCTGTCGCGCTGCGTCAGGTCAAAGGTCGCTGACCTTTGACTTTCTCGTAACCTCCAGCGGTTACGTTAACTTCCGAGGGTTGACTCGAGATGCTTCGATTTGAGCTGCTTCGCTTGTGTCTTGAGTTCTGACACGACAGAGGCGCTTGAACTATTGTTCCCAAAACTCCCCTTCGCTTCTGGAGTGTCGCTGATGGTGACGTGGCTTTGTCCAGTCAGCAGCATGCAGTACTCGAACTTCTGTTTTCTGAGCTTCTTGGTCAAGTAGTCAGCTGCCATCTCGGACGTGGGACAGTAGGATAGTTTGAGTTTCCCTTTCTCGATCTCGTCCTTCACGAAGAAGTATCGCAGGGCGATATGCTTCGTTCTGTTCGCGAATCCGCTCTTGTTGGTGATGCGAATTGCAAATTGGTTGTCGCAGAACAAGGTGAAGTTGGGTAACTCGGCTAACTTCGCTTCTTCCAGTAGCTCGCGAAGGTAGAGTCCTTCCTTGGTGGCTGAGCAGAAGGCGATATATTCTGCTTCAGCTGAAGAGAGAGCAATTAGTTCCTGCTTGCTCGATTGCCAGGAGATAGGTCCGATACGTTCGAGGCGGTAGTTGTAGCCAGTGCGGGAGCGCCTGTTATCTGAGTCGCCGGCGTGATCGGCATCGACGTAGCCGATTAGTTTCGTCGGCGTAGTTGTGTTTTTGTAGTACGTCAGGCCAATCGTTGCGGTGCTCACGAAATAGTGAAGAGCGCGGTCGAGTTCCGCCAGGTGTTCTGTTTCGGGTCTCTTGAGATAGGTAGCAAGTTGACTTGCGGAGTAGGACAGATCTGGGCGGCAGGTGACGGCTGCGAAGAGGAGGCAGCCCAGTTTTCGCTGGTAGTCGCGTATTCCGGCGGTTTTGAGTAAGGCGGAGCTTCCCTTGCCGTTCCCTGCCGTGTAGCGGTATGGCGTGGAGATAGTAGTAGGTGTGAGCGCGAAGCGTTTGGCGATGGTGTCGGCATACTTTTCGGCGCTGAGGTAGATCGCGTTTTCTTCTTCGCGGATGTTGAGTCCAAGATACTGAGTGACGGTAGTGGAGACCGTGAGTGTGAGGTCCCTCTTCAGCTCCCCTTCGAACCAGGTAGTTATGTCGTCGGTAGAACCGATCGTCGACGTACACGATAAGCAGAATGTAGTTGGCGTCTTTCGTGAGTCAGTACATGCCTTGGTCGTGAGGCAGTTGACGGAATCCGATGCGGGTGAGGCGGGTGTGTAGGTGCTGTTGCCACAGCCGTGGGGCCTGTTTGATTCCGTAGAGCGATTTCAGTAGCTGGCAAACCTGATTAGGTTCCCCGTGGGTACCATGTGGGAGCTCAACGAAGATTTCGGCGTCGACGGGTGCGTAGAGGAAGGCGTTAGCGACGTCGATTTGCCGTAGTTTTCTTTTCTTCATGGCGGCGATCGCGAGGAGGATTCGGAGTGAGGTGTGTCGGCTAACCGGGGCGAATGTCTCGGTGAAGTCCCGTCCGTGTTCCTGATCGAATCCTCGCACGACCCAGCGTGCTTTGAACTTCTCGATTGTGGCGTCTGCCTTCGTTTTGATGCGGAAGACCCATTTCCCGGTGAGGATGGTCTTGTTCCTTGCCACGCTAACTGGAACGACTTTCCAAGTGTTCCGTTCCAAGTGTTCCGTTCCAAGGCCTTTAATTCTCTGTCCATGGCTTCACGCCATTTCTCCCTGTGTTCCCCCCCCAGAGCCTGCTGAACTGTCGCAGGCTCTTTAGGAAGAGGATGGCCGTGGACTGCGGTGACGAGGCCGAGAATCTGCAGTCCAGTCTGTGAGTAACGGGGGAGTGTTGTGTCCTCGGGATAAGCTGCTTCATCTCCCGCTTCTGGGCCGGTTATGAAATTCGGCCCTATTTTTTCTGCTTCGTTGGTGTTGACTGTCGAAGGTGTTACGTAACCATTGTCGGCGAAGTGGTAGAAGACTTCGGCGTTGGCGCTTTCGCGAGGATTTTCTTCGTCTATGGGGACGTTGACGGAGCAGAACGGGAGAGGCCCGGCTTCTTCTGATGCGTTGTCGACATTCTGCTCGTCCCAATCTGCTTCGTCCGCTGCAGAGGCGAAGGCTCGGTCACCACGAAAGCCACCTGTGGGTTCCTGATTTTCGTGCAAGTTGGCGAGGTACGTCTGAAGCGTGAGTCGTTCGTAGAAGATCACATCACGTGCTGCTACTGTTTCCTTGGAGTGGACGTTGAAGATTTTCCACGCGTTGTAATTCTTTTCGATGCCAATGTGTAGTCCCCACTGTGCGCGTTGTGAAAATCTGTTGAGATAGAGGCGAGGAATGAGTGCACTATGAAATGAAACAAGTACAAGTACCAATCCTACTTGGGTTGTACCCCCTATGGGCTACCCCACTACAGCCTAAATATATGCATCAGTAATATAATCATCTAACACACCCCCATAGGCAAAGTGGGGGAGAGCAAGGGGTCACAAGACCAGTCAAGCAAAGCAAAGCAAAGCAAAGAAAGCTCAGGGTGGATCTCAAGGATACCACACAAATTCCGAGCACAAGGTCAAGGCCACAAGGCCACTTCACATGCAGCAGAGCATATATATATAACAGTGCTAAACCAGCAAGAGCAAGGATATATATATATATATGCAGCAGTACAAGCAAGGTCAAGAGGTAAGCAAGTGAGGCCCAGTGGGCACAAGGCCTAGCAGAGTGCAAAAGCGCTGATGGTCACGAGGCGGAAGTGCCTTGGTGAACACATCAGCAGTGTTGGCCTTAGTGGCCACGAAACGCAGGCGAAGCTGACCACGCTGCTGCAGCTCTCGAGCAAGGAAGTAGCGCAGAGCAATGTGCTTCGTCCTGTGCTCCAGTCTGTGCTCCTCACACAAGGCAATGGTTGCCTTGTTGTCGACGTACAGCACTGGAGGAGAACGAGGCCGCTCTCCAAGGTCAGTCAGCAGGTAGGTGAGCCAGCGAAGCTCCTGGGCAGCCATGGCCGTGGCGTAGATCTCAGCCTCACAGCTGGAGCTGAGAACCGAAGAAGAGCGAGTAGAGCGCCAAGAGACAGAGCCAGAGCCAAGACTGAAGGTGTAACCCTGAGACGACCTCTGAGTAGCCTGGTCGTCAGCCCAAGAAGCGTCTGAGTGCCCAGTGAGCACAGGCCGCTCACACCCTCCAAGCACTAGCCCCATGCCCGACGTACTGCACAAGTAGCGCAACACCCTCTTAGCTGCATCCATGTGCTCATTCCGGTGACGGCCGGGAGCAACATAGCGTGCTAAGATGCTGAGAGGGTATGCAAGGTCAGGTCGAGTGCAGGTCATCAGGTACATGAGGCAGCCCACAAGCTCTGGATACGGACCACTAGACTCTACGGACTCATCCGAAGGCAGAGCTGAGAGCGAGTGTCCCGTAGGCAGAGGAGAGGACTGAGGCGAGGAGTACGTGAAGCCGAAGCGCCGAAGGACCTGCTGCACCATGTGTGACTGAGTCAGGGTAATGGTGCGGCGTGCTCTGTCCCGGGTGATCCGCAAGCCAAGATAGCTTGTCAGTTCACCCAGGTCTGTGCACGTGTGTCTCTTCTGCAGCTCGGACTTCACGTGGGCGAGTGCGGCAGTGTCCGCAGTGGCAAAGACCAAGTCGTCGACGTACACGAGGATGTAGAACGGCGGCAACGAGGTGTCGGTGCGCAGAAACAGCGACGGGTCAGCAGTAGAAGGAGCAAACCCAAGAGCCGCAAGTGTAGTCCTCAGTGTGTCGTGCCACTCACGCGGCGCCTGGCGGAGACCGTAGACTGGCCGCCGGAGGCTCCACTGGGTACCAGGAGGGAACGACCCAGTGAAGCCAGGAGGGCGGCGCAGCCAGATCTCCTCGTGCAGGCGGCCCTTGCAGGAAAGCAGTGCTGAAGTCAAGAGAGTGTAGCTCGTAGTCACGCTGAGCAGCGACGTGCAGTAGAACCTGAAGAGTGGTCATCTTCGGGGTCGGGGAGAAGGTCTGAAAGAAGTCAACTCCCTGTCGGTGACTGAAGCCACGAGCCACGTAACGCGCCTTGAAGACAGGCGGAGAACCCGGCGGCCGCTTCACCCTGAAGATCCACATGCCACTGACGATGTTCGCCCCAGGAGGGGGGACAGCGTCAACGTAGGTGCCTGTGGACTTCTAGGAAGCCATCTCTGCGTCCAT